GATAAAGTTCAATGCCGTGCATGTTGTTTGACGTTCCTAACAGAACCCAACAACTGCGATGCACCGCTGCCATGCCGAGTACCAGCTCCGACTCCTTATGGAGAAGGATTTCTGGAAGCAGAAGGCGATCGTTCGCTGGGTGGCTGAGGGCGAGCGGAACACTAGGTTCTTCCAGGACTTCACCTCTGACAGAGGGTCCCTCGTTGCCCCGATCGTCTTTTTCTTCCCTACCATCCCTCCTTCGGTCGATTATGTCGGCCTCTGTGAGCTCCCGAGTATGAAGGAGGTTCAGGATGCTGTTTTCGAGATTGATCCCAACAACGTTTCTGGCCCCGATGGGTTCTTTTCTCTCTTCTATCATGTCTGCTGGGATATAGTTGAGCTTGACGTTGAGGAGGCAGTGTTGGATTTCTTCTCTGGTCACCGGTTGCCGGATTCCTTCACGTCTACCTCTGTCGTCTTGATTCCCATAAGACTCAACCCGAGCTCTTGGTCCGACTACAGGCCCATCAACCTGTGTAATGTGACCAATAAGCTCATTTCGAAGATTCTTAACGACCATCTTTTTTCTCTTCTCCCCTTCCTCATCTATCCGAACCAGAGTGGCTTCGTCAAGGATCGGGTCATTAGTGATAACATACTTTTGGCCCAGGAGATAATCCAAAACATTTCCCATGCGGATTAGAAGCGGGCACCGAACATTGCGCTGAAGCTAGACATGGCTAAGGCGTATGAACGGATGGAGTGGCCGTTTCTTAGGGAGGCACTAGCTAGGATGGGATTTTCCGAGCATTGGATCAGTTTTGTAGAGGCATGTGTGGAGCACTGCACATTCTCGGTCCTAGTTAATGGTAGCCCCACCAATTTTTTTCCCTCTTCTAGAGGTCCTTGACAGGGTGACCCCCTTTCCCCGTCACTTTTTATTCTTGCGATGGACAACCTCTCTCGCTGCCTCGACGGCTTCATCCGTGACTATCCACGGATGACATACAACACCCATGGCTATGGTCCACCCATCTCGCACCTCTCTTATGTGGATGAAATCATCATATTCACCCGGGCGGATGATGATGGGCAGGTCGAGCTTATGCACCTTCTGGAGCACTATAGCTCTGTTACCGACCAGCTGATCAGTGTGCAGAAGAGCACCTTCACCCTCTCCTCCTCCAGCGTGGACAGGCGGGCTCAGCGGGTGCACGAGATTACGGGATTTGCGTGTGACGACCTTCCCATTACTTACCTCGGTGCCCCTTTATATAAGGGCAACCTCACGAGAGCGCTCTTTGCGGACATCAGGCAGAGGATGATCGATAGCATCTCTGGTTGGTCTCATAGACACCTTTTTTTAGATGGTCGGCTTGCGCTGATCAAGAACACCCTTAGCTCCCTTCCACTTCATTTACTTATGGTCCTCGACCCCCTAGGTCTACTCTTGACGAGATTGACCAGATCGTGGCTCATTATTGATGGGGTTACGAGGACAGTTCCGGGAGGGGGAGACATACCCACTGGGTGAGTTGGGTGATAGACTGTAATATCCAGATATTTTATCAGTATAAATTATGTTTTAATTCCGAATTATTAATCTTGTTGAGTATTAATTGTCGGAATTAATTATTTTCAGTCGAGATTACCGAAAATTATTTTCGACGTACCGTTTACTTTCGGAATAATTTTGGTAATTAAGCATTATGTTTAATTAAAATAATTAAACATAAGAAAGGATTAATTAGCCATTAATCATACCCTAATGGCATAAAAGCCGTACGGGAAATTATATTTCCCAACTTTTGCTAAAAGTTTTCCTAAGGGTTAAGGAAATAAATTTCTTCCCAATTCTATTACCATCACACGTGTCCTTAGGAGAGGATTATTGGGAAGATTAGTCATGCTAAGCCTCTCAATTAAAGAGCAAGTGTAGGGCATTTCATAAGGCCACGTTAAGCCATCGTCATCACCCCAACTTTGTAACTCCATTCGGCCCTCTCTATATATAGCATAGAGAATTGGAAATTTTTCCCCACTTCGTTCCTTATATTCAGCCCATATATGTATTTTAGTCCTTAAGATCAGCAAGCTTTGAGAAGACCGCTCACACCTCACGCACGGCAATACGCACAGCATCGTACGGCAAGCTATCGCGCATAGGGCACGCACACGCAAGGTCTCGAGCGATTTTGATATTCCGTCGAGTACTCAAGAAGGTATAGTCATCCTCGACTTATTTTTATGGCCATAAGTTCATTTTAAGTTGAAGTGTTCGAGTCATGTTCAAGAATTCTTAGTATTGCCGTGTTAAAGTTCGAATATGCCTAAATTAAATCGTGATCGAGTAACTGCTTGTTTTACCTGGCAACTCACGAACCATTCATGTTTAAATGATCAATTTACCTCATTTTATGTTCAGTCACTCGATGATGGTCGAGGAAAAATGCTGTTTTATGTGTTAAATGGCCCAAAGCCGTCGCCAGCGCTCATCGCGCGTGGCCACGGGCGGCACCAAATCACGTCCTGTTACTTCCAGTTATGGTCACGTTCTTTCGTGTGATTTATGTCCTGATAGTCTCATAATGATGTTCATGTTAAAATGGTCTAGAGTTGCCGAGGGAAAAGATGATTCGGTCGGGAGACGGCTTATCGCCGTCGGCGGCGCACGGCGCGCTCGCCACGGCCCGTTCAGTTGATCATGCGAAAGGTTATATTTTTAAGTCATTTTGATGATTATGTTCAGGTTGAGTCAGGTGATGTTGTTTTACGTTGAAGTTGTCGGAAAGAAACGTCGGACTGCCGACAAGTGTTTGTTGTATATGCGCTGCACGCATATCGCGGTAACAGCGTACCGGCAGGGGTCGTGGTGCAGGTACTGCGCGGTAGAGCGCCCCGCAGCAGATAGCCGTTGGCGATGCGCGTGCGCACGCCAACACCCCGTCATGCATGTCAGCGCGCAGCAACGCGCGTTCAGTGGTCGCACGCAGCGTCGCCTAGTGCACGCCTGCGACTCGGTAACGCCCAGCGGCACCGCAGCAACGCGCCAGCGCACGCCAGCACACGTGAC